TTTACTGCCATACAGCTACATTTTATTCCCAGACACCAGGATCAGCACACAAACTTACAAACTTATGGCATGACAACAGACACCTTAAATCTTCCCAGAGTGTGCACTCAGAAATTATTCTGCCAGTCAATTTCCCCAGGAGTTTGTACCAGTCTAATTTGGACTGACACAGTCCTCTCTCCAGTCACGCAATCTCACATCCAGAAAGGCATTTCTTTTTCTCACTGTACTTAGCTCAAACTGTAAATTACAGCTTAAATCCTGATTGCAAGGTTGAAGCAGAATCCCTTCTCCTAAGTACCCATGAAACAAAAAGTTTCAGTACTAATATTTTCCCCACCAATGTAACTACTCCTCAAAAATATTTGAGACTTAAAAAAGGTACAGTTCATTACACAAATTAATCTGGAACTTCTACAACGACATTTCAAAGCAGTGCTTGATCTGCATCATAAATGTCAGAATGGAAGTTTTTCCCAGTGCCGAGCGTGAAATCTTGGTTACAATGAGCAAACCTTCTCTGCAAAACAATCTCCCCAGAGCATGAACTAGAAAAAAACCACAAAAAAATATTACAAAATCAGTGTCGCAGATGCATATGCCACATACGTAGTGTATAATTAATACAAGCTTCCAGTTATAAGATACAAAATTAGGTACTTCTTTATGATTGCAAGCAGCAATTATAACTGACTTCAAAGGAAATAGCATCATAGAAGCATTTCCAAAATATAATTTTCAAACTGTTTCAAGAAAGGTAAGAGGTTGGTTGAGATTTAGAGGAGAAACTAGACACTCGTATAATTGTTAGTATTTCCCAAAATGTATGGTTCTTGAATTTCTGCAGAAATAAAAAATATTGATAATTTTGCTTTAATATAAACCATTCTCAGAACTACAAGCACACTCAGATATTTTATCCCCTAATACTCAGATAACTAATACATCCTATCATGTCATGATATGGAAATCTATTTCCTCTGTGAAGCTCTGACCTCAGTTTCAACCTCTGAAGACAGACAAACTTGACATACTGGTAGAGTTTCACATTTATGTAGATTTGATGATGTCTTGTCTCATTATTTATTTAAATTTACAGAACATACTGGTTAACCCATTGAACAGCAATAAAGCCCAATGAAAACAGGGTTTACTATTTCCTTCTGCCTGAAGGAGAACACAAGAAAACCCTGGGATAGAAAAAAAGAACAGACAATGAAGTATGGCCAGTATTTTAAGGGTAGCAGCTTAATACCAAATTTTAAGTGCTTCATTGTGGGCTACACAGCAGCACCTTCTGATTCCAAGTAGTCATAAATGTACAAGTCCAGAAAAGGGCACATTTCCAGTTCTACTCTAGCATGACTGCAGTGGTTCCTCCAGGGCAAAGATAAAAACCTTGAGGGAATAACTTAAGAGGTTGGTTACAGTTGATCTTATCAGCTGAGGTGCCCTTGTATTTTAAACAATGCAAGTATTGTTGCATTTCCATTATTTCTCTGTACGCAACAGAAATTATTTTAGTTCATTTAAAGACTTAAATTGATACTCTAATATTGTTTATGGTTTTGGTTTGGGTTGGGTTTTTCTGAGGGGGAATGGGGACAGGGAGCCAGGTAAGGATAGGAGGAAGGTCAGTGGAGTCAGCAAAAATTACCCATCTCACAAATTCTGTGCTTCCTTTTACTTGACCAAGTAAACAACAAATCCCTCTCTTAGGTATCAGACACTCAAATGCTATTTGTAAAAGCCTAAGTTCAAAATACCTAGGAAAGGTACTTCCCTTTAACTTTTCAAGTAACTTTGAGACTCTAAACAGAAATACTGATACAAAACCTAAGGCAGCTCGCACCACAAAATCATTCACAGGAATTGTATTCAAAGTAAACTTAATCTCCATCATGAATATTTTTTTCATAAAGTCTTGTAGAATCACACTGTCTACACAGATTTTCAGACATTCACAGCACAGTATATTTTTGTAAAATTAGTCTGAGAAAAAAAGGTTGATCTTCACAAACTACTGGTAAAAAAAAAAAAATCTTCAACAAGAAGAACAATTAGTTTAAACTTTGATAGAAGTAATACAGTGATACTGAAAAATAAACACAGTTGACAAAGGAGATTCCAGAATGCTGTGAAATTTAAGTTCATCATTATACTCTTTTAATGCCTTACAAGTACTTTTTCTGTTGTAACAATTTAAGAATGCAAAACTGACTTTCACCATTTATAAGTTACTCTGTGTTTGCAATCTTTCTTCATAGAAGCTTTCAAACAATTACAATATCCCACTGCACGTTAAAAGTTCAAGTGGGAAAGCTGTTTTGCAAAAGCTCAGACAGAGGGCTGGACTCCAGCCCTACCACATTCAAATCAAGACACCCAAAATACATAGTTCACATATGACCCAAAATTGTAACCGGTTTTGCATTGTGCTAAAACATAAAGAGGAAAAAAAATAATAATGAAAGAAATCTATGGAGTATATGGATCACCTTCCTAAAAAGGTTATTAGAAAGAATGCAAGTGAATGTTGCAGCTATTGTCTAAACTAGCTCCAGGCTACTCTCTGAACTGTGAGGGAAAACACTTTGGTTTCACAATTTCATCTGGTTTTGTCCAACTTAACCTATCCCATTTATGTGTATTTCCAATTTAGTAGAAACACTACCAGAATTATTACACAACATTAGAACAATTTATATAAAATTAGTGCAGTTATTCCGATTTCTAGTTGACAAAACAGCTCAAGTACTGCTAACGTGTAGCCTTCTGCTGGCATTCAGATCAATATTGTCACAGTGCCAAGATTAGTACTACTTTTCTACACTAACCTAAAAATAGTGGCCATGCTTCAGTGAAAAATCTGATTTTTATTTTAAGCTTTCCACATCTGCTAGCCCCATGTTATCCCTAGTTTTAACCAACACAAGCAAGTATTCCAGTCTGTTGTCAAAGTAAGAATGCAGTAAGCTAACGGTCTTTCTGACTTGTAGGAACACTGATATTCCCTATACCAAAAGGCCTGGTATTAACTGGTCAAAATTAATACCTTCCTCACCCTTCTTGATTTTAAACTATACAGATATGAATAATTAAGAGGGAAAGGACACCCTAAACAAGACAAAACCTGTAACACAGAGCAATTCAAGTTTAAGCATTCATTGAAAAAAAAGCTGAAAAAATAAGATTTTTTTTTTAAAAAAAAAACCACATTATTTCATCCTTTTCTGATTGGCTGTAATATGCAATTAATGAGCTGCCCAGTGTAAGAATTTGCACAGCAGTAAAGCTTATCCAGTATAACTTCTGAGATTTTACCTGTGCAGTTACAGCAATAATTCAGCACTTCTTTGCAGATTCTACATTTGCTGAGTTTAGACTGCTAAAGATACCTAATCAGCAATGTCAAAATGGACTGTGATGAAAAACTATACCTGGAGTTTAGCAAACAGAAAGTATTTACTAACACTGTGAAACAATTTATAGAATATTTTGTTCGTTGATTTTCAGTGAACAAAATTTTCAGTTTAGCATATGAGATAAATCCATTCTATTTGATTTACTTTTAAGATACTCTATTATCAGAGAAGATACAGTAAGACACGGAATACTAATGTGAAATAGGGTATGTCATTAAGTGACACCATAATCACTTCACCAATACTACACCATCTGCAGACTCATTCACAGATGTTTACTCCTTCTTGTAACAACAGATACATCCCAAAACCTTTGCAAACCAACATGATTCTACACAGAAGCATACTGCAATCCCAAAGAGTCTATTCATATTTTTATTCCACCTTACATTTTAGTTTTCAGGATTGTTTTGCTTAGGTTCCAAATACACAAGCTAGAAAGAACAGAAGGCAAAGTGCAGGAGAAGGAGGGCAAGGAACACAAACATGCCTTCATGCAAAGGAAGAAGAGAAAGAGAAGTTACAAGATCACGACATGCTCCTTCCCTTAGTAAGGCTGAAGGCTCCCTCACCCTCCCCAGAACTTCCTACAGGAAGCCTACTATCATTACACACACATAAATATACACAGATTCTCTGCCTTTATACTCTGTGCGTTTCCCTGTGTGTGAAAGGCTAGCAACTGTGCCTTTTCCCTGTATAAAGTTATCACCGCGAAGCAATAATGCATCAGACTCTTAAGTTGCAGCAGACAACTGGGCTCATACCACTAATCTTTCCAAACATGCCTTGCCCGTCTCTACTCACTCACACACCTTGTCACTTTCCCAAACATGATGTACCTTTCCCCTGCCACGTGCTGCATACATGTACTGTATCACATCCCAACATACTGTTGTCACAGAGCAAGCCTCAACCACTCTTCCTCCTCTGCTGCACCCTCCACACACACGCTTCATGAGACACCAGAGACACCATCTGTAGATACAGATGCAAAAAACCTTATGCTTACCACATACATACCATAAATCTATGGCACTTAAAAATGCCTCTGTGCATAAACCAGCACAACTATGCATACTTACACATGTAAGCAACTGCCCCTCCATACACAGAAAATGCCACATACCTTGTATCTGCTACATACATATAAAAGTACAGATAATCCTTCCCACACGCATAGTACACATGCCTATAAAAATATCCACATATTACGCCACACCTAGTGCTCACTATATATACACACAGACACAAGCCCATACCAGACAGCACCAAGCAGACTGAACTACGTACATACAATGCCATGTCACGTCCCTGCACATAATGTCACCTATCTGCTACAGAACAAACACACACATGCGTCCAAAGACCAAATCACGGCAGGTACACGCTGATACCGTCACAGAGGTGTAATACATGACCCTCATGCCTTGCTCCGTATCTGCCACACACACACACACGTCCTAGGCCACACCCTGGCTGGCCGCACACGCACAAGCATATAGCACAACGCCGCACCCCAGCAGCCCCACCAAAACACCCCACATCTGCTTCGTGCACCGACACACGCCTTACCTTCACCTCTACATCTACACCGGGGGGCCCACACACCTCGCCGCACACGCACAAGCATATAGCACAACGCCGCACCCCAGCAGCCCCACCAAAACACCCCACATCTGCTTCGTGCACCGACACACGCCTTACCTTCACCTCTACATCTACACCGGGGGGCCCACACACCTCAACCCCCAGCTGCTTTACGCACCCATACCATTCCTCCCGTGTGACACAGGTGGACAACGCAGCCCTG